CCCGCTGCTGGTTCTAACCCCAAAACACGGACTCTTTTCAGGTTTCTCAGTCATTCACACCCCACCCCCACCCCACAACAGGAGCCTGCCCTCCCTTCAAATAGCACATGGTGCGATTCAAGCATTGTGATGCCAAGGACCCATCCCTTCTGCAAACAGCTGCTGCTCACAAGGATTGCTCCAGGCTATTACTTTGGAAGCCACAGCCCTTTTGTGGCCACTGGTAAATCTCAGCCCATCCTTAGCCATGTTGTATAACGTGCATATATCTTCATTTGGGCATTATGTTCCAGACACTGGAGGCTATGTCAGCATTTTAATTTTTTTTAAAATCCTTTGTTTTCAGTAATCAGTGGCATCAATTGCCCTCTGCCTACAAGAAGACTAGCAAGATACTCTCAAGTTGATTCCCCTAGTTCTCACTCATGGCATCATGACATTTGCTCTATGACACACATTCATTTTAGTTAGGGCAGTCAATGTGGTTCCTCTAGGTTCCTTTTTCCACCCTCTGCATTTCTGCCATGACACGCCTTCAGCAGCCGGTACCCCAAGGAGTTCAACATGGGTCAAGCGCATCTTCAGTCCTGTCCTTAAACACAGGGCCAATCCTGGCAGTAGATCTTGGTTACTATTGAAGAGCATAAAATTGTCACATATTCAGTTTTTAATCATAGTTCCAGGGGCTGATACAGAGTTGCAGATTTTAATTTCTGTCTGTGGCACCAAAGTGCCTGGCCCATTCCATGCTAAACTGAATTGACACCTTCCAATGGAAGGAGCGGGTGGGGACACCCACGTAAGGAGTAAATCCAGTGCAATTCCCAAGGGATACAGAAGAGGCAAATTTGGAAGAGTTGTAGATATGTAGGAACTGCACAGTGATTTATGAGCACTTACATGATTTCTCATACCTAGTAGCAGTGCCTGAATGTTCCACAGAGCAGAAACATCTAATATTCAGTGCCCCAAATACTAGTCTTTTTCTGCAAGAAAAGAATGAACATGGCCACATTGGCTTGACTTCTATGGTCCGTCTTTCATGTTTTCCCAAGGTCCGGAATCTATTTTTAAGAGCTATCGATAGCTGGCTAGGCAAGCTGGGGTTGAGTTTTCTGTCCATGCACATGGTTGCTAAGGAGGCCTGTCACACCATTCCTGGTCTTTGCCAGGAAGTTTCATGGATGCCCAACTGTTTCCTTCATTTCAAGCATTAGTCCAGTTGCTAAGGGGAAATGCCCCTACAATATGACATCCTGATCCGCTTTTCCCAAGCTTTGCCATGTTTGATAATGTAACAGTTCCAGATCCAAAAGGGCTTGGCCTCCCCCTTTCCCTTTGACAAATTCTCCTTGGGAAAGAGCAGGAACCCAGATGGGCAGCACCAAGGTTCAGCTGGTATTTTTATTTATTTATTTATTCATTACATTTCTGGATTGCTCAGTCCCCGAGTATACAAGGCTCTGGGCGATTTACAACAGATTAAAACAATATAAAAGTACAGATTAAAATCAACAATCAACTATTTTTATTTAATAATCTCTGGATAGCATCCATAATTTTATCCAAAACCTACTCTGGGCTGTTTTTCTGTCTTGTGGGTAGGTTAAAGAGGAGGCTGAAGCGAGCAGAATGGAAGAAAAGGTGCTAGCTATGATGGAAAACCGACGCTGTCCTCAACCAAAAGCCTAGTGGAACATCTCTGCTTTACAAGCCCTGTGGAATTGCATTAAGTTCCGTAGGGCCCTGATAGAAGTTGGCAGAGCGTTTCACCAGGTTGGAGCCAGGGCCGAGAAAGCTCTGGCTCTAGTCAAGGACAGCAGGATATCTTTAGGGCCAGGGATCACTTCTAAGGTCTGTCTTTCATGTTTTCCAAAGGTCCAGAACCTATTTTTAAGAGCTAGCTAAAGCTGGCTAGGCAAGCTGGGGTTGAATTTTCTGTCCGTACGTATGGTGGCTAAGGAGGCCTGTCACACCACTCCTGGTCGTTGCCAGGAAGCGTTCTGTGGATTCTTCCCATCCATCCCTTTCCTTCATTTCCACAGAGAAACCTTCCTTCCCCTTCCTAATGCATCCTTCACAACTGAGCACAATGGAAGCCATCTCCTTCCATGCCACTGAGGCCGGTTTTTTAAAAGCATACCTTAATCCTGACAACTGTGACTTAAGATGTTAGAAATAATTTTACAATAATTTGAGATGTCAGGTGGTTCTAATTTCCTAACTTTTCAGTGTTAACCGCAATGAAGCAGATATTTCAGCTTTTTAGAAAAAGGAATCGAGATGTCCCAAACTGCTTAGAAAAGTTAGGGGGTGACAAATGATAGCTATGGTGCTATGAGAGGGTTTTAAACAATGTTCCAGGGAAGTGCCCTTTTAGGGCCCAGGTTCTATTACAGTGCTATGTAGTTCCTGTCCATGATAGGGGACAGTCACTCAGGATGCTGTAGCTTTGATTAACCTCTCTCTCTCTCTCTCTCCCTCTTTTTGCACTTCAGGGAAGCAATGGCAGATTCCGAGCCCCTTCTGGAACTGGATGATGCAGAAAACTCAGCGCTGGCTGCTGGGGATGAAAATATACCTGTGGAGCTTGAGGGGACTGATGCTCTTGAGATGCTGCACATAGATCCCCTTGACGTATCGTTCTCACAAGAAATGGGGATCATCAGCAACCCAGCGGAGCTGCAGGCAGCCGCAGCAGGCCAGGAGCTCTACGCTGCAGAGCACCAAACTATGAGCATCGAGGAACTTGGGAATCGTTTTCAGGAGTGCATTGAGGCTGTTGAAGAACTAGAGAGGGAGAGGGACCACCTTATCCAGGAACTCATGCAGCTGCGGGAACCGGCCTTGGAGGAAATCAAGCAAGCCCATGAAGAAATCCTCAAAGCCTACAGGTTGCACGCCAAAGTAGAGCTTGAGAGGGACAGCTTGAGGGATGAGATTCGGCAAGTGAAACGCAAGCTGTTTAGGGTGACACGGGAATGTGTGTCATGTCAGTATCAGCTGGAAACCAGGAGACACGATGTGGCACAGTACGTCGTCTACCGGGAAGAACTGGAAAGCAGGGTCAGCCAGCTCTCGGAGGAACTGTCCCAGCTGAGGGAGACTTGTGAGAGAGAGAAGGAACAGTTCAGCCAGCAACTGAAGGTCCCCAGGCGCCGAAGGGACAGCTGTTATCTCCAGGAGAGCAGACGGCTCTCCATGGAGTTTGAGAGCTTTGTGGCAGAGAGTCGCCAGAGCCTAGAAGAACATTATGAGCCCAAGCTGATGCGTCTCTTGGAACGCAGAGAAGCCAGCACTAAAGCTTTGCAAAAGACACAGAGCGAGATCCACAGACTGAAAGAAACTCTGCGACCACTGCAGGGAGAAGTGAGCAAGCTACGGCTGCAGAACAGGAACCTGGAAGAACAAATCCTACTCTTCAAGCAAAAACGGGATGAAGAAGTTCTTCAGTACAGGGTATGATTCTTAGGCTTACTTGCTATTCTGTGTCTCAAGCTAGCTACCAAGCAGGTTGCTGCAATTTCTGTCAATATATGTGTATGACCTGGAAGGGCCAGGCTAGCCTGACCTTGTCAGATCTTGGAAGCTAAGCGGGGTCAGCTATGGTTAGTACTTGGGTGGGAAACCACCAAGGAAGTCAGGCAATGGCAAACCACCTCTCTTCGTCCCTTGCCTTGAAAACCCTACAGGGTCTCCATGGGTCGGCTGCAACTTGATGACACTTCCCACCACCACATAGAATTCAGAACCCTTGAGCTGAAAGATTTAATGGGGAGGAATGCATAGTGAGAATTTACCCCTGCAGACCAGAGAGCTCTTTGCCTGCTCCCCCAAATTAAAAAGCCCTCTCAATATTAAAAAAAACCAAACCTGGGAAGGCTAGGCTATAACCCTTTCTTCTGACAGTAGGTTAAGTGTATGCACAGGTTGTGGGGGGAACATTCCTTCACTTACAGTCCAAAATTGTACAGCCTAGCTGGAGCGATATCATTTATTTTATCAGTACATGAATTCTGAATCAATAATCATTAACATGGAAAATGTTCTCTGAAATCACTAAGCATTGCCCTGACTTGGATAGCTCAGGCAAGCCCAATCTTGTCAGATCGTGGAAGCTAAGCAAGTAAGTGGAAGGGAGACCTCCAAGGAATACCAGGGCTCAGGATGCAGAGGCAGGCTATCAAGCCACCTCTCTTTCCAAGCCCTCAGTAGGGGTCGCCAGGAGTCGCCATGACTTCCAGATACGCAAGCACACACACACAGAGGCATACACACAAAAAATCACTTAAGTGTCAGTTAACCTATCACAGTCTTTAAAACTGGCTAAACCTTTGAAAAAGATTTGTACTCCCATTCAAAATGGGTCTTATTCCCAAGTAAGCCTAAGATTGCCCTCTTATGCACACTGTATTGGGCAAAAAGCTTCATTTAATCCAGTGAGAATTGGGCCCAGTCTAAATGTGACATTGGCACAATAGAGCTTTCCTGTGCATGTGTTCAGGGTCTCCTTTAAATGGTCCTACAAGCTGCTACAACCCCCACAGAGCAGCTATGCCTTTTTTTTTTAATGAAAACGACCATTGGTACTCACCGTGAAGGGTCCTTCTCCTCTGAGGCTTGGAGGAAATCTTGTGGGTGATTCCCATCCATTAGCAGGGAGGCAGGACTAAGTTTTTCTTCCTGTTTCCTGCGGTGGGAGTCACCCTAGGCTCAGTTCTGGTGCTCCAAAAGCAAAGTGCTAATCTAACCTTACTGAAGAAAAGAAACAACTTGAACATTAAGACAAGTCAGAACAAGATATAACGCTAACTGGAACAGGAAGAACATGAGAATAAGTTAAGAAGTCTCTCCTGTTAATATAGAGACTTAATTCTGTCTGTTCTCTCACTCTCTCTCTGCCTGCATTCTAGTTTGTTCTTGGTTGTTTGATTGTTGTCAGAAGATTTGCAGTAGAAAGACAGGATGATGACCCAGGAGGGCCAAGATGTCCTCCAAGCCTCAGAGAAGAAGGACCCTTTACGGTGAATGCCAATGCTTGTTCTCCCTCTGAGGTGGAGGCCATCTTGTGGGGCCTCCCAGAGCACTGTCCCTAATCTTTGGGTGGGAGGTCATCATCTATAGACAGAACAGACTGCAGTACTCTTTGCCCAAATGCCACATCTGCAGCGTCGTACACGTTGATCTTGTAGTGTCTGATGAAGGTGGACAAGGAGGATCACGTGGCAGCTCTGCAGACTTCTTCCACTGATGCCCTATTGGCAAAGGCCGCATTTGTTGCCGCGCTGCGTAGGGAATGGGCCGTGATGCCTGCAGGAACTTGTAGATTCATGCTCTTATAGGCCTCAACAATGCAGGACCTGTTAGTGTAACTTATGGCCGAAGTAGACATCTTCCCCATGTGAGGGGGAGAAATGTTAATGAACATAGCCTCTGTCTGTCTAATAGAGGCCGTTCTCAAAATGTAGCATTTGAGTGCCCTTCTCACATCCAGATAATGCCACATTTTTTCTTTTGGATGAGTAGGATTTGGAGAGAAAGAAGGTAAACATATCTCCTGAGATGTGTGAAATGTAGTGTTCACTTTGGGGCAGAAGGAGGGATCTGTTCATAGGACTACCTTGTCCTTGTGAAGAGTTCAGAATGGACAGTGCGCCCAACTCTGAGATCCTTCTGGCTGAGGTAATGGCCACTAAAAACAAGGTCTTCATCCTCAAAAATATGAGAGGAATGTCCTTCAGAGGCTCAAATGGTACCTTCATGAGTGCTAAAAGGACTGTATTAAGCCTCCAGGTGGGAAATCTGTGCTTCTGTGGAGGATCCTTGAATTATGCCCCTTTAAGGAAACGGCAGATGTGAAGGTGTGAGAGACAGGAAAACCCTTGTACCGGGGTAGAACCGAGGCCAAAGCTGCCGTCTGCCTTCTGAGGGTCGTAGCCCTAAGACCACTGGAACAGCCGTCCTGCAGAAACTCCAGAATAGATTGGACCTTGGGATGTAACGGATCAACCTTTTTTCGTCGGGATCAACGGACAAAGGCTTTCCAGGTAGTGTTGTAGGTCCTTGAGGTGGAGGGCTTTCTGGATGCCTTTATTGTCTCAACCAATGCTCCCTCTAAGCTGTGGAGTCTTGTGAGCAAAAATTCTACTTTGTGAGCTACTGGCATTAAAATTGTGAGCGAGCAATTTGGCTACTGCATAAATTAATTTGCTCTAGGGCCATCCTTTCTGAGCTAAGACAAAAATGTGTGAGCTGGAGACTAAAAACTGTGAGCTAGCTCACATTAACTCAGCTTAGAGGGAACACTAGTCTCAACAACAGACTCATTATATCCTAGATTCAAGAACTTATCCCTTTCAACCTCCATGCGGTCAAGCAAAACCACCCTGGATTGGGGTGCCAAATCGGGCCTTGAATCAGCATGTCCTCTGAGACCAGAAGGCTGAGAGGAGGAGCCACTGCCATCTCTTGAAGTGACGTGAACCATGGCCGACAAGACCAATATGGCATCACCAATATGACTTCTGCCCTTAGAGTCTTTATCTTCTGAAGGAGTCTGGGAAGTACCGGAAGAGGAGAGAACACATATAGGAGTCCCACAGGCCAGGGGGACAGAAGAGCATCTGTCTCCTCCACTAAGGTATAAAATCTGTCCAGTTGGTTGTTGTCCAGGGAAGTGAAGAGGTCCACTTGTGGAGTTCCCAGTTTCAACACTATCAGACGGAAGATGTCCTTGTTCAGCAACCACTCGCCCTCCTGGATTGTCTGGCGACTCAACCAGTCCGTCTGTGTGTTGATGGTTCCCTTCACATGTTCCACCCTGATTGAAATCAGGTTGCTTTCTGCCCAGTTCACTAAGAGGGTTGCTTCCCGGTGTAAGGCTAGGGACCTGAAGACCCGTTTGTTTAAATAGGCCTTGGCTGGCTGAGATGTTGTCTGTCCATATGAGGATGTAGTTCCTTTGGACTTGAGTGGCAAAATGTTGAGGTGCCGGCCATATGGCTCAAAGTTCCAGAAGATTGATTCGGAGATTCTTCTCTGTCTTGGACCATCTGCCCTGAACTGGTTAATGGTGGAGCGTGGCCCCCCAACCGGATAGATTGGCATCTGTGAAAATCTGGATTTGGTCCTGTATCCAAAACGTCTTGCCTTGTGATGGGTTGGACAGCTTGGTCCACCAGCAAAGACTTGTCTTCACCTGAAGGGGCACCGTCAAGGAGAATTCCATCCTCAAGACGATGGAGTTTTGATATGGACAAAGAAACTCCTGTAGTTGCCTGAAGTGGAACCTCCCCCATTGCAGAGTATCGAAGGCAGCCACCATGAGACCCATCATCTTGGTCAGGGTGGACAAGGAGGAGGTCCTTGCCTGAATGATTTGTGTGGCCAGCCCCTTTATCTTCTTTGCCTTCGTGTCAGGAAGAAAAGGTTTTGACGTACAAGTGTCCATTATGACTCCCAAGTGTTCCAGTTGCTGAGAAGGGGTCAAGGAGCTCTTTTGCATATTCACAAGGAAACCGAAGTCCTGCAGGCACTGAATAGCCGTGGTCATGTAATTCTGGGATTGCTCCCTCAAGGAGGAGCGGATCAAAATGTCATCAAAATATGGATGGACGTGGATGCCCCTCTCCCCGAGGCAAATCACTGGATGGACCAGAGTCTTTGTAAATACACGTGGGGCTGAGGATAGGCTGAAGGGAAGTGCCCAAAACTGCAGGTGGGTCTCCCCTACGCAAAAGCGTAGGAATTTCTGATGTTGAGGAAAGACTGGAATGTGCATGTATGCTTCTGTCAAGTCTATGGAAGAAAGGAACTCCCATGGTTGTAGGAATTGTGCAATGGATCTTAGCGTTTCCATGCGAAAGTGTTTGAGATCTACATATCTGTTTAAGTATTAAGTAAATCTAGGATTATCCTCCAGTCCCCGTTCTTTTTGGGGACCGTGAAGAAAATGAAGTAGACTCTGGTCTGTTTGTCTATGGGAACGGGTTCTATGGCTTGGATGTGCAGAAGGTGATTGGTTGCAGGCCTGGTTCTGTCCCTCTTTACTGGATTTTTGTGTGTTGGAGAGATGACAAAGCGTTGATGTGGAATTGAACGAAATTCTGTTTTGCAACCTTCTGCAATATTGTCTCTTGTCCACGCATCCGGGTGGGAAGTAAACCACATCAGATGGAAGAGTAGCAGATGTCCTCCCACTGGTGGGTCTAGATAGTCATGCCTTAGCCTTAGGGTCTCCTCCTTTGTCCTGTCTGTTGCCAGCAGGTCTGGAGAATCTGTTATTGTTGAAGCCTCTGCGGCGAAAGGGTTGTTTGCTGGTACCCCAAGAGGCTCTTCTATTGTCTTGTTGGAACCTGGACGTGTTATTGTATGGACAAAAGGAAGAGGGACCTGCTGACCTCTTGTCCCCAAGACAGACTTGGGTGGGTCTTTCTTATCACAGGTTCCACCAGTATTTT